TGCCCTCTGTTTGTGAAAAACGCAACATCTGTAAAGCGCTGTAAAGCGCTGTAAAGCGAGGCGTGCCTGTACTTCCTGAGGCAGGAACCCACAGGACCTCAGAGGACAGGATCGTGTCACCTGCAGCCACTCCGACGTGGGAAGTGTCAGCTCGACATGCACACAGCTCAGAGGACGTGCAGATCTGAGCCCGGGCCGAACCATTGTGAACCGTGCATGGCCGGGTGAGGGCGAACGTGGGCCGGATGGAGCCGAGCAAGCTCACTGGGGGTGCAGTGCTCCTGCTGGGAAGGCTGGGGGCTGTGCTGCAGGGAAGACCCCCTCCATCTGCTGGGGACAGGTCAGTATTCGGTCACTGACCAGGGGAGGAGCGTGTCCTCTTCAGAGGCCCGGGCAGCCGTTGGCGCTGGGAAAGTCTGCATGTGGTGACCTCGTGGCCCTGCCTGGCTCTGTGCTGGGGATCAGAGAGGAGCCTGGGTCTAGAGCACTAGGGTCCTGGGAAGCTCCCAAGGCCGGGAATGGGGCCCGGAGGAACCTGGCAGAGAGCCTGCTCCCAGAGCTGGGCCCTGCCCTCCCTGGGGCCTCCTCCGCACGCCGGGCCCTCTCACCGTGTGGCTCGTGTGGTTGTGTTGTCACTGCTGTCGGCCCGTCAGTGGCGGGTTTCCAGGGGCCGGGGCCGTGCAGAGTGTTCGGTAAACGTGTCCTGAACCCACAGGGGACTCACTGTGGGGTCCCCTGCAGAGGGACCCTGGGCCCGGTGCTGAGTGCAGACCCAGCCCTGAGCCTGGGCGAGGCGGCCGGCAGTGAGGCGTGGGTCTGGGAACCAGGCAGGCCCAGGCCTCACGGCTGCCGGGTTGGGCTGTCATCGTCACCGCGTTTAGAGGAGGAAGGGCACCAGCAGGGAGTCACTTTTGTTTAATCACTAATTAGACACAAATAAAGTAACGCTTGCTTCAGGGGGCGCAGCACGTGCATGTGGCTTGCTTCGGTGTTTGAGTCATGGCCAGTGGTCCCGCCCCAGGGAGCGGTTTGCACACGTGCTTTGCCAGCCAGAGGAGGGATGTCACGGCGCCTCCCCTCTCCGCTTCAGGCGGAGCCCAGGGCCCCCGTGGGCCCTTCTGTCACAGGGCCTGGTGCCTGCCGCGGGAAAGGGAGGCCCTGCAGGGCCTTCTGCAGAGGGGCCTGGGAGAGGCTGGGACTGTGGGATTATAAACCTTGGGGCAAACAGGATCATTATTACAACTTGCCTCCCGTCCCAGCCCATCGGTCACCCATGGGACAAAGAGGTCAATCTCCAACTGGAGCTCCCATCTGCAAAGAGGTTTAATCCCAGCCCCAGTGTCCACCATAGTAACCTTGCCTCGTGGACCTTCTTGGCTGTCTCCTCCTCACACTGAACACCGGAGAACGCTCAATCAAGTGTTCTTACCAGGGCACTCATGATAAGACAGGTGTGAAGCACTAGGAAGGGGTGGTGGAGATGGGCCACCTGCTCCTTAAACCCATGTCCTCTCATTCTTGGGAGAGGCTTGGCCATAGGTCCCAGCCTCCTTTGCAGCCAGGTGTGGCCTGGTGGTCGTGTTCTAGCCACAGAAGTGGGGGCGAGGCTGGCTGCTCCCTGGATAAACACTGGGATCCTCCCTGTGACCCTCCGTGACCACCAAGCAGAAAACACCGTTGAGGGCCAGCTCAGCCGTAGGGGTCACGGTGCCGACCCCCGTGCAGTTTTCAGTCCACTTTTGACCCCCCAAACTAAGACTAACAGTCTGCTGCCAGCAGGAAACTTTACCGGTAACGTAAACAGTAGGTTCACAAATGTTTTGCATGTATTTGTATTACACACTGTGCTCTTATAATAAAACTAGACAAAAGAAAATGTTAGGAAAATCACAAGGAAAATGCATTTACAGTATTGTGCATATTTATTGACAAAATCTGCATGGAAGTGACCCCGGTTTGAACCCGTGTTGAGCAACTATAATCCCCGACGAGGAGGGCCACCCACAGAGGTCGCCGCTCAGGGTCATTGCTTCCATGACAAGTGGGGGCCTGGAGGCGTCCGCGCCAGGGAGGGGGCTGTGAGGGATGAGGGTGGACAGCCTGTGGACAGGTTGTGGACAGGCTCGGAGCAGCGGCCGAAAGAGCCAGGAGGAGTATGACCGCCGTCCCCCACCCGGACGCCACCCAGGGAGGAAGGGGGACAGCAGTCAGGCGCGGCAGCCCCGGGGCCGTATTCGGCAGCCGCGCCGGAGCCTCTGGTTGTCGGCGTCCCTTTATCTCGCGCGGCCGGCTGCCCCATGGCTGGGGGCTGCGGGGGCGCCCTGGCAAACGCGCCCCTGTCACGGGAACGCACGGGAGGAAAGAGCCCGCGACCCTCACACAATACATTCGCCCCGACTCTTCGCTTGCCGTTGGCCGTGCTGAACTCGCTGGAGGCTTGCATTGATGTGTCCAGAATATTGTCTTTTGTTCCTAAAATAGAGGTCCTAGGAGTTCCCCTGATAGAAACGGGGCAGTTTTTCCATAGGAACAATATAATAGGATTACGATTCCAGCCAAGGTTGGACACTCTATTTATAGAAACGATCAGAAAGCGCAGGGGCCCCGGCGCGTCAGAGAGCAAGGGGGACATTCGGGAGGCGCCTGCCAATCAGTCAAGCAGGGCCGTGCCTGCACCATCACGTTAAGTCTCTTAAAGACGTACGACGTGTGGCGGGTTCCCTGGGGCCAGGAACCAGGGGACCCTGAGCTGCAGGGCAGCACCCCAACTGCCAGCATGCGGTAAGAGCCAGTCACTTAGGTCAGGGCAGTCCGAGGCTGACCGGAGCCCACAGCCACCAGGATCCTGGGAGCCTTCAGGAGACACTGCGCCCCAGTCCGAGGCCTTTGGGACGCCGGGTCGCCGGTGCCCACGCCGGTGCTCAGCATGGGAGACGCTCTCTCCGAGTTCTCTGGGCTGTGTCTCAGGCCAGATCCCGGGATTCTGCCCCGCTGGGATCCCAGCATGGTCTTCACAAAACTGAGAAACCAGGACGCCGGTGAGGAAAAGGAAACCCAAACGACGTCAAGGTGGAGAAGAGAGACACTCGGTTGCTTCTTCCTCTCAGTCGTGAGCGTTGCTTTCCCCCAGACTCCCGTGGAACCTGCGTGGGCTGTGTGCCCCTGGCCCCGCTCCCACTGGACATCTCTGGGACGGGGGCTGGGAAGAGCAGGGCTGACTCTGTGTGGGAAGAACAGCCTTCAGCCCGCAGGGACACCCCAATATCAGTGTCGGCCTAGCACTCCGCCCCATTGGGAAATCGTAGAGAAGGAAACCCCGCGAGGCTCCGGTCTGGGGTCGGCCCACGGATGTCCTCGGCCCTCCCAGAGCGTGTCCGAGACACCAGTGAGCTGCTGGGGACGTCGAGAGTCGGTGCCGTGAGAAGGCACCAGCCTGGAGCTGCGGGTGTTGTTACATTTCTGTCCAAACCAGGATCATTATGTGTGTATAATTTGTGAAGCCGTTTTACAGGGAGACCCTGATTTCTTGCAAGACCCAGGTTCCTGATATACAGGCCCCTGGGCTCCTGCGACCTGCTCGGCCGGAAGGAGGCTCACCCGACAGCCACGTAGCCGAGCAAAGGAAACGGGCGGCAGGTCCAGGCAGGCCGGCGGCCGGGACGGGGACACGGTGCCCAGGTTCACGGGGCTGGTCACTGTTGAGATGGAGTCAGCCCCTTTCACCGGGGTTTCGAGCTCAGGGCTACAGGGGGTCTAGAAACCATGGGGAGGGGGGAGGGGGCTGGGACGCTCACCACCACCCTCTGCCCCACCACACACGCTGAACGGAGTGACGGTCACATTCCCCTTTGGCTGTGACACCGTGAGATCGAGGGCTGTCACCAGGCTGAGAGATGGGACGACCGGCCAGGAAATGCTCCAGGAAGGCTGCAGGTGGCTCCCCAGGAGAGCCCGGGGCCCGGGCAGGGGGAGGGCAGGCGCACGCGGGGCTGGACCGCAGGGAGGGGTGAGGAGTCACGGGGGTGTGGGCACAATTTCACACGCGGGTGGCATTGGTTCCTGTACGCTGTGCCATCCTGTTCTCAGTTTCCGAGTTGGCCTTTCCGGTAGCAACTTGGGCCTGAAGTGAGGCGGAAGGAGAAGGTGGGCGGCCCAGGGACAAACTAGGAGCACTTGGGCTTCGCACCCAGATCCCGAGCGATTTCAGTCCCTGCGGGAGGCTGTGCTCCTCTGACTCTTTATCAAGCGCGAACTACAGCTACTCTCAGGATGGCCTTGTCTTTAGCGCCCCCCTCCCCGCCCGCGCACCCCCAGAGGCTTCTCCCCTCTAGCACCGCGCCCCTGTGGCGGCTTGTCACGCCCTCTTCCAGGGTGACAGAAGAAGCAGGAGATGGGACTGGGCGGCAGGGGGAAGGGACAGGGCCAGCCATGCAGACAGGGAATCAGAGATCCTCGGGCTGAGACTGGCGCCCCACCCCCTGGGGCCCCGCGGTGCAGAGAATCAGCACGGTGTGTGCACCTTGACCCAGAGAGGCTTCTCGGCCCCAGGCAGCTCCAGCCCGAGGAAGGGTCCACCCCCATCGGGAGTGCATGGCAGCGGGCACTGTGTGCGGGCTCCCAGAAGTCAGTCCGGGTGAGGGGGGTGGGGGGCAGACCCCTCCTCCCGGTCTGTTCAGCGGGGAGGTCCTGCTGGGGAGGAGCCAGCGATTCCTGCTTCTCAGGAGGTGTGCCCTGTGCTTCGGCCACAGCTGGCTTGGTCCCCGGGGGGACTGTGGGACCCAACCCGAGTCCCTCACCTCAGGGGCCAAGGCACCCCAGGCTCAGAGCTGCAGTGACACCCCAGGCCGGCATGGGGGTCCCGGGCATTGTGACCTCAGCTGTGCCACACACAGAGGCAGCCGTCCCTCCCCCTCCTTGGCCTGTAGTCGGCACAGGACAGTGGCCTGGTCACAGGCCCGTCGTGGGGAGGTTGGGAAAAGAACACTCTGGCCTCCTCCACCATGTCGGCCAAGAGGGCAGAACTGAAGAAAACAAACCCGGTAAAGGAGACACCCCTGGGCGCCCACTGAGTGGGGATGGGGGGGCGTGCAGAGTCCACCTGATGACTCCCCCTTGGCTTGTTTCATCTGTCCTGAGCATGAAGCGGCCTCTCGGCCTGGAAGCAGGGTGGGGCGACCCCTTGCCTTGGGGCGGGACGGAGAGGGGCCCCCCGAGGACTCCCTCTGGGACGAGGACGCGGGACACCGAGCCACAGCCCGGCCACTCTGGGGGCGTGACCCCACGCCAGGCCCACACCTCCTGGCCTGTCTCGGGTGTACCATAACTTCATCACGGAATCACCCCCACTTTACAGAGGGGGAGTGGAGGCCAGAGAGGCTAAACTTGCCCACCAGTCTGTAGGGGGTGCAGCTGAGATTAGAACCGGAGTCTGTGCCCCTGAAGCAGTGCTTGCATGGCCTCCCTACAGCTCCCTGGAAGTGCTTCCCCGCCCAGGCAGCCCTGGGGGTGGTGGGGCAGAGGCAGTGGTGGTGGCGGGGACAGGCACATGCTCCTTGAGATGCGTAATGCACAATGGAATTCGAGTTGTCTTGACCGGGGCCTGGGGGACAGTCAGGCCTGAGTTCTAGCACAGCTGGCCAGGCAGGGCCAGGCGAGGGCTCCTCCTGCAAGCGGGGGCGGGGAAGCCTCCCAGCCCAGATGCCTGACGGGTGGAATCCCCACCACCCTCCTCTGCAGAGTAAGAACTACAAGGCCGTTTGCCTGGAATTGAAGCCTGAGCCGATCAAAGTAAGAAGCCGTTTTGGGGCCGTGCTGGCAGCCAGGCCTGAGAGCCCTGGGGAGGTGACTTGGAGTCAGGGGTCATTCTCTGTTGCTGGTGGCCAAGGCCTGCCCCAGGTGCTGGGGTACGCTGAGAGACAGACAAGCTCCCCGCTCACCTAGAACATCACACTAATAACTAATCAGATACATACATGAATAAGAAAACATTCAGCACTGTCACTGCTGTGCAGAGAAGTAAAACAGGGAGACCTGACAGGAAGGCTGCCGCAGGTAAGGGGTCAGGAAAGGCCTTCCTTTGAGCCGAGAGCTGGAGGACGAGACGCCAGCCACTTGGAGGCACAGGGGGCGGAGGACGCAGCTGTGCAGGGGGCTGGGGCCCAGGGCTGAAGCCCGGGGGGGGGGGGGCGGGGGGCAGTGGGGTGGAGGAGCTCAGAGAGAATTGAAGGGTGGAGTGGGACCACCAGCTGTCACCTGTCTGCCCTGGCCCAGAGGGAGACACGGAGACTGGGGTGATCCCTCCCGCCCTACCTACCCCACAGCCGTGATTTCCAGCACTCTGTGCTTCTGGTTTCAACCAACAGACATGTGACTACAAAGGAATTAAACCAGAAGGGCCATTTACCAAAACGGGAGTGACTCGGGAGCTAAAGGTAGGTGTGTGGACCCAGGCAGTAGGGTGGGATCAGCCCTCGGAAAGGGGGTGCAGGGTGGGATCAGCCCTGGTGAGGGGGGGTTGGGGCGGGGTGCAGCAAAACAGCTCCCACTGGGAAAAACCATGGGTGTCAATGGTTGGGCTTTGGGCCCTGTGACTTCATTCCCTCGGGCTCTTTTTGGTTGTTTAACTCGTTATTTTGAAATAATTTCGGACTTACAGAAAAGTTTCAAAAATGGCACAATGAATTGTAGTGTCCTGTCACCCAGATTCCCCAACTGTTGGCATTTTATCACAGTCCTCCCCCACCCCTCATACACACACACACACACACACACACACACACACACACACAGTGTTTCCTGAACCGGGTGAGGGCACGCTTCTTCTCAAACTTCAGCGTGAGTTGCCTAAAAACAAGGGCACTCTCTTACATGGCCACAGCCAAATTCTCAAAATATTAAAATCAGGAAATTAGCATCGGCACTATCCTCCTCTACAGCCCTTATGCTAATTTCCACAATGATCCACTGGTGTCTTTTGTGACAACAGAAAAAAACAGCTTTTTTTTATCTGGGACCCAACCTGGGATCACAGGTGCATCCAGGTTCCCGGTCTCTTCCGCCTCCTGACATGTGGAACAGTTCGTCCCCTCTGTCTCTCGGGACAGTGACATTTTTGAGGACCGTGGACCGTTCACTTTGTAGAATGATCCTCAATTTGCACTGCCTGTGCAGTTTTGACTGTCACCTCACAGAAGTGTCAGAGTCACACGACGTCTGCGTGTCCCTCCATCCTGTTTTCTTAACAGCTCCTTTTCTGTCCTCCCGAGTGGGGTGTGTCTCTCTGCCCCTCCCCTGTCCACACCCCGGGACCTTTCCTTTCCTCCTCTGGCAGTGTCCCTTCCTTCTGAGACATTCTTGACTCCTTCTCTTCCCTCTTTCATTTCCTCAGAATGAACTCAGGGAGGTGAAGGAAGAGCTCAAGGAAAAGATGGAGGAGATAAAACAGGTAACAGGATGAGACTTATCAGAAGTTGGAGGTAAAGGGCATCTTCCAGGAAAGTGCAATCCTTACTTTGAACAGTGACAGAAATCAGGAATTTCATAGAAAAATCTCTCAAATGAACTCAGCCCAAATCCCTGCATGTCAGGCAACTTAGGGTATCCATTTCTTACTTGTCTGATGCGTAAACCCAGTGTTTGAATGCTAAGGACTCTCTAAGGGGTCTTATGGATGAGGTTGGGGAGACACATAGGGGCTGATTGGAACTCAGGGGCGGCCAGACACCAGTTCAGTTATTCTCCTCACCTGCCCTGAGCAAGCGCAGGGCAGCACCTCTCTTCCTGCCTGCTCGATGGCACTGCCCGGAGCACCCTCAGGGAGCAAGGGAGGCTCCAGCGAGAAGGCGTAATTGACGTTGTGGTCGGAGCTCCGCCAGAAGCCTGGGGCAGGTCCGAGTTGGGCCGAGGCCAGTGGCGGTGGTCACTTTCTGGTACCTGCACCCCTGGTCCCTTCTTTGGCCCCTTGGGGAGAACGTGGCTTCAAGGGGCCATGACTAGTCTATTCCATGAGCTTCATCCAGCTCACCCCAGCAGGCAGCTGCTGCCCTTTGCTAACATGCCTCCAAAATGACTCCACAGTCAGTGATGTGCCCTGTGCCTTTCTTCCTCATTAGATAAAAGATGTAATGGACAAGGATTTCGATAAACTCCAGGAATTTGTGGAGATTATGAAGGTAAGCATTGACAGAGTGCCTTCCAGGGGCCAGCGCCATACTAGGATTTGTGGAAAGAGATCCCAGACCATGCCCCAAACTCTATTGCAGGAAAGAATGACCACGTGAGTGACGGCCTGGTTGATAACAGGATGTCAGTTAATGTGGAGTTTAGAGCAGTGAGGGAGGAACGTGGGCTGGGGTAGCCAGAAAAGTTCCCATCCAGAGAGGGAGTCTCCAGGTAAGCCTTGAAGACTGCTTTGGAAGCTTAATGCGAATGTAACCAAAAGCCCAGTCAGATTATTTCTAAACTCAGCGGCACTGAGAGGACCATCGGATTCTGGGGTCGTGGTTCTCACACTTTGCTGTGTTTCAGAATCACCAGCACAAATAAAGAAAACAGAGCCCAGGTCCTATACATTTATTTTATCTTATTTTAAAGTTTTATTTATTTATTTGTATTTTGAATTTAATTTTATTATTACTATTATTTAATCTTCACCTGAGGATGTATATTTATTCATTTTAGAGAGAGAGGAGGAAGGAGAGAGAGACATCAATGTGAGAGTGAAACATCGATCAGTTGCCTCCTGTCCACGCTCCAAACGGGAATCGAACCTGCAGATCTTTTGGTGTGAGGGACAACGCTCCAACCAACTGAGCCCCCTGGCCAGGGCAAGCCCAGGTCCCATTTTAGATAGGTCTTGTAGCCTTGGGTTTTTCTCACGGTCTCCAGGTGAAAGTTTGAGAGCCACCAATGTGGAAGCATAAAAGGCTTAAAAGCAGATACCTAGAACATTTCACAAGTTGTAGCTACATCTACGAGGTATTAAAACTCATCCAGAAGCCACAGTAATCGAATCAATGTGGCTCAGCCCAGGGATAACCAGCAGAGATAACCCTGGAACAGCCTCTCTGCCGGGGATGCAGTGAGAATACCTGTGAGGCTTTGTAAGACTCATGCTCCCAGGCCCAGGCCCAGGCCCAGAGGGACAGGGAGGGTGCAGACGCTTCACACTCGAGCGACTGTGACGCTTGCCGCTGGGGACAGCCAGGCCCTCAGCGCTGCTGCAGCGGTTACTCACCGCGGCTGCGCCCGGGAGCCGCCTGCACTCTGACCTCCCTGTACCCAGGCTGCGCCCTGGCACCACACCAGAACCTCTCGGGGTGAGGTCCAGGGTCAGTGGTTTTTCAAGATCCCCTTGTGATTCCATTGTATGCTGTAGTTTGGGAACCTCGGCTCTATAACATTTAAAATAGGAGAAAGATGGTTTTTTAAAGACCAGTGAGAAGGAAAGTGTTATGTAATAACATTAACATTGTTTGCATACATGAAGAGAAAACTTAATTCAGTAAATTCTGTAAGCTGGAATAGTCTACCACGTGAATTTAAATGCTAAAAACGAATAAGAAGAAAGTGTACATAAGTATTTAACCAGAGGTTCTAAGCAAAAATACAATGGAAGAAATCACAAAGGAAATACTGGTATATTGAACAATTTTTAAAAAATTGAAATTACAACAGAACAGCTCCATAAACAATTAAAAGCAAACAACAGTTTTGGAGAAACAATTTTTCCACAAACAGGATAGACACAGACACCAGATTTTTTATCTGTAACACGTAGAGCTCACACAAATTGGTGAGAACCAAACAGAAAAATGGGGAAGGGTGGGAACGGAAAATCCACAGGGAGAATATAACTAAAAAGCAGTAAACATTAAAAGAGTTTACTCATGAGTAATCCAATGAATGCCAATGAAAACGATAATTAGGTGAGTGTCGCATTCGAATACTCGGTTTTAATCTAGGACGACTACGGAACAAGAGAGGAACGCTCGGTACTGATGGTCAGAGTTCGAGCTTGTAAAATACTGAAAAGGAGCCCCGACCAGCATGGCTCAGTGGGTTAGGCATCATCCCACAAAGCAAAAGGTCGCCGGTTCGATTCCTGGTCAGGGCACATGCTGAGCTGCAGGTTCTGTCCCCCTGACCGAGATGGGGCCCAGCTGGGCATGTATGAGGGGCAACCGATCAATGTTTCTCTCTCACGTCAGTGTTGCTCTCCCTCTCTTTCTCCCTCCCTTCCCCTCTCTCTAAAAATAAGTAAATAAAATCTTTTTTTAAAAGTATTGAACCCCCTTGATTCTTCAATTCCACTTCTCAGAATTTAACCTCTAAAAGATCAGAAGTGCCAGCATGGAGGGATGGATATATATATATTATATATCCTATATTCACACACACACACACACACACACACACATACACACACACACACACACGGAGTAGCAAAAACTTGGAAATAACCACAATTTTAACAGTAGAGAAAAAAAAACAAATGACGATACATCCATAAAATGAAAATCAGGACCTATTAGACAGTGTTTAAAAAGAATGCTTATAATGAGAAGTAAAAAAAAAGCAAGATACGAGTAACACATACAAGCTGATCTCACTTCCGTGGGAAAAAATAGGTGCGTGAACATGGAGAAAAAGACTGGAAAGAGATAGACCAAAAGGGTTATTGCTGTTTCTAGGTGGCGACGATTTTCTCCTTTGTGTCCCTCCGCGTTACCCAGAGCTTCTGCAAGGGCAGGTGCTATTTTGGCAGTGAAGTGCAGACTCCGGTGTTTGTTCGCTGGGGGGCAGGGCCACTAGGCACGGAGGAGGCTATTTTGGGCGCGGGCACAGCTTGCGCGCAGCGTGGAGGCGGGAGGGACGCGAGGTGTATCGCCGTCAGTGGGGACCCCGTCTTCCAAGTGGGGTCATCTGGGGAAACGGTGAGAAGCGCAGTGGACGGACGGCGCACCGAGGCCGCGGGGCCGGGAGGCTGTTGAAAGGCAGGCAGACGGGCCGGGGCCTGGCGGGGGAAGCAGCCGGGGGCCTCGGGAGAGTCCTCATCCAAGAACACGCCGGGAGCAGCATTTCAGAAAGCTGCCCGGCAGCTGCTGGCTCCGTGGCCTGGGCGCCCCAGGGGGCAGGTGGGGGTCGTCTGGAGCAAAAATATCAGACAGGCAGCCGCATCCGGCTCAGGGTGGAGAAAACCGGACCAGGTGTAGGGACAACAGCGTGCTGGGGGCCAGTTCCATACGGAGAACAAAAGACAGGCCAGCAGCTGTGAGGGCTCCAAAGCTTGAGTCTGTGTGATTAGAAGACAGTGGTGACAATGACGAGGGTAGCTGGGAAATAGAACTAATTTTGAAGAGACCACGAGGGGGTCACTCTGGGACACAAGGAGTTAGAAATGATGGCCAGACTTGTGAGACTATGGGATGTTTCCACTCTGGTTCTTTTGGACTTAGGAGAAATTTTGACTTCAGGCATATTTCGACTCCACTTCTGAATATAAATATGTTCTTCAAAATGTAAACTAGCATTTTAAACTGCTTCTCAAGAAGGTATGTTTTGAAATCATCTCCTCCCAGACAGTATAATTTTCTGATCAAGTTTTTACCACAGTTCAGTAAACTGTTTCCACAACTTTGATTTTTTTATTCCAATTATTTTCCTGGAAGCAAATTATTTTCAGTCTATATGTTATAATAGTTGCTCCAACCCTGTTGTGCCCATTACAGTCTAGGATCGCATCTGCTGTCTTCGAATCTCTTTAGGGACCACTGTTCCTACCCAGTTTCCCCAGGTCAAATGTATAGGCCTCAACTCTGTCAAGAAGATTTTACTGTTCTTTCAGTTTCTAGTAAATAGTACACGTGAGGGCCCACTTGAGCTGCTGCCAGTTTTATTGTGTGTTGACCCTTTCTGCCACCACCTGGGTAAAAGATGGAGCGAACAAATACACGGGATCTGGGTGTGTGGCGGGGGTCAACACGTTGGCATCAAAGTGTCTTTTGCAGGGATTGGGTGGGGAGCGTGTCGTACAGTTTCCCGTTTTGGTTCTGTCATTGCATAGGCCTTGGACCAAGGCAGATAGTGGTTTCATCCGAGTGTGAGTGAGTTCAGGTGAAGCAACAACTCCTGGTCTCTGACTCACCTGGGGACTTGGGACAAGCCCCTAGTGACTCTGCCTGTTGCTCAGCCCCATCTTGGAAACGGGGAGGCGGCCCATGTCAGGGACACCCCAGAAGCCACCATACTCGAGGCCAGTGGGCATTCTGCGGAAGTAAGGTGCTGAGGTGTGATCTCCGAGTGGCAGGGGGAAGGGGGCTCCAAAGGCCCTTCAAGATGTGGCTTCTCGCTTTGAATTCTCTCTTGAAGGAAATGCAGAAGGATATGGATGAGAAGATGGAAGTTTTAATAAATATACAGAAGAACAACAAGCTGTAAGTATAACCTGCACCCTCTCTCCTTGTCCCTAAAGAACCTTCCCCTTCACTTAACTAAGTGTCCTTGGGATTCAAGGACTCTCAGACCCTTCACAGAGCTGTCTTGCTGTCTCTGGCCCCAGTGGCTTGGAGTGAGGGCCGTCCACGGCCACCTGTGCTGTCGCGATCTCCTTGTCATGTTGGAAATTGTCTCCCCATCTCGGCCCCTCCCCGACTGCCCAGTCTGCTTAGAAGAGGACCAAAGGAGCATCAAGACCTCAGGCTGATGGGAAAGCCTGACATGGACTCACATCTCCGGCCCAGGAAACTGGAGGGAGCTGACGGAGCATCGCTGGCTGTTTACAAGAAGCATATGGCACTGCAGAAGCCCAAAAGAGACCCGCTGGAGTCCCTCCATCAATGTGGGACCTGCTGTGTGAGTGATGCCTGCCCCTCCCTGCTCGGGAGCTGCACGCTGGGCCCCTGCTCCTCCCTGGGCCCCTGCTCCTCCCTCCCCTCCCCTCGGCCTCTGCGCTCACGCCGGCACCTCTAGCTGCAAGGGAAGTGGCTGCAACGCTCTGCAGGCCCGGGAGGCCCCTGCAGCCTGAGCCCTCTCTGGGGTCTTGCCCTCTAGGCCTGGGACATCCCCAAGTCATGAGCAAGCAGGACTCAACTCTGGATGTGCCTGCCCCCAAGTGCCACTGTATTGTTCTGTCCTTTCCTGTAGCAAAACCTGACGGGGTGCCCAGCAGTCTGGCCATCTTGGACCAGGGAAAAATGACCTTTCTTGTGCCGTTTCTGTCCTCTACAAGAGAAATGTTTGTTGTGTGCCCTAAAGAACAGCTACAATCAGGGGTAGGTGGAGCCAGACGAGAGGTGCCTTGTCTCAGTCGGGTGTCCCGTCGTCCCCAAGGCAGTCAGTGCGCTCAGGCTGCGTTCGCATCAGGCCTCACCTGTGCCCCTGCAGACTCTGCCCCCCACCCCCACCACCTCCATGCAGTCTCCGGGGAGGCTCGGCCCCAGGAACGGAGGGCTGGGCAGTCCAGCCTGGAGGTCCCCGTGGAGGGGCAGGTGCCTTGCCAGCGGCTGACCTGCCCTCGCCTCGGCTGTCTGCCCGTCTGCCCCTCTAGCAGGACACCTTCACGCCAGGCCTGGGCATCCTTCTCACCCTCGGCATCTGGAGCTGCTTCCTGATATATATGTACTTCAACCTCTCCGTGACCGAGGAGGACATGCTTCCCACTTAGGGCCACCGCCGCCGAGCCTGCCAGAGCTCCAGTTGGCCCTCTCCCCGCTCCTTGAGCTGCACAGCACAGGCTGTCGCTGTGGCCCCTTCCCTCCCACCTGCCCAGGCCTCCCTCCACCCAGATTAAAAGCTTCATCGAAATCCAAAGGGGATGTCACCAACCTTGAGTATACAAAGGGTGTTACTTTCTTATTCTATATCAGTGTAGTTTAGATTCCAGCCCCTCTTCCTAGTTGTCCTTGGAGGTCATTCCCCTCAAAACGCTCTCTCCCTCTCAACTCCACCTGGCTCTGCAAAGGCCCCAGGGCAGAAGAGAGGGGAGGCCCTGAATACGTCAGACGCCTTTCTGTGCGGTGACAGGAGACACCCCTGCTGCCCTGTCCCCCTCCTCCCTCCATGTCCTTGGCTCCTACATTGTGTGGGCTGGGGGGAGACCCGAGACTTTGGGGCAGTGTGGGGAAGCCACAGACCCAGGGTCTAGCTTGCAGGAGGGCTCAGGACCTGGTGCTCACGGGTCCCCTTGGGCTCTGAGGATCCACCCTCCTTACCCTCTGGCAGGCTTCCTCCCTCCTCCCCCACCAAAGGGATGCAGATGCCCTCAGAGGCCTTAGGCCTCTGCAAGGGCGGGGGAGAGCCCTTGACCTCCCATGGCGCACTCTGTCCTTGCCCCACGTCCTGGGCAGAGGAGGCCTGGCTGCTAGCTTGAAGCGAGAGTCCAGAAAGATGCAGAGGAAACAGGATTTCGGTGAACCATCCTGCCACGGGTGTGATTCTTGGCCCCGTCCGATGGAGGAGGAATTCATGGGATTTCATACTTTATTTCACAGCGGCTCTTGCTTGTTTCATCCCTTTGCCACGCTGGCCGCTTCGGCCTCTAGACAATGCAGTCAATAACTGATCGAGTATTTCACGGCTACCTAGTGATGAGGGGTGTACTGGGTGCTTCAGACATACGTTGAAAAAACAAACAAAAACCAAAAGAAAGCGTAGGCCTCGCCCTCAAGGAGCTCATAGTTTCAAAGGAGATGGTCTACGTGTACATTAAAGATGCGGACCGTAAGTAAATAACCGCAATGATCACAAACACGCGGTGAGAGCAGAGGTGGGCAGGAGCGGGAAAGAGAGGGGCGGGGTGCGGCCTGGGTCATCTCCCTGCTGCTGTCACGGGGGGCCGCACATCTGATGGCCGAGGACGACTCGGAAGGGGCCTCTCTGGGCCGAAACCCAGACGTCGGCCGCCGGCGAGCCTCCGGGAGGCCCTGGGGAGAGTCGGTGTCCTCGCCTTTTCGGCTCCCGGAAGCCGCCTGCGCTCCTTCCGGTTCCTTCCGGCTCCTTCCGGCCCCTTCCCAGGCCCCTTCCGCCCTCAGAGCCCGCAATGGCCGGCCAGCCTTGCTCGTTCCGCGTCTCTGACGCTGGTCTTCCCCGGCCGCCTGCGCCCACGTCTGAGGCCCCTTGTGGTTGCGCCGGGCCCGCCCTGGTAGCACCAGGGACTCTCCGTGTGTTAAGGTCAGTTGCTGAGCACACGTCTTTCCCTTTGCTGCCTAACACGACATATGCACAGGTTCTAAAACATGACATCGTCAGGGGCTCCTTTTCTGCCTATCGCAAGGGACTCCCCAGGCGCTGGCCCTTGCCTACCACACCCCCCAACACTTGGGGACACCTCATTGCTCAGTTCTGTGCTGTGGTGTTTTCTAATAGCCCCCCAAACTACTTGATGCTCTTTCAAGAAGAGCCTCAGTCCGCTCCCCTTGAGCGAGAGACACGCTGACCTGCTTCTGACGAGCAGCGCATGGCAGAAGTGACGGCGTGTGGCTCCCATGACTAGGTTAGCTAAGACGCGGTGGCTTCCCGTCTTGCTCTCTCTCAGACACTCATTCCAAAAGGAAGTCTAACTAGGCAGGTTGGGCTGGGTGTCCACCCTGGTCTGATCAGCTGGGCTCTGTGGCACGAAGAAGTGGGGTGCAGGTTGGGGAGAAGCCCCCCAAGAGTCTCTGTACCCAGGACAGAAATGGCATCTTTGGCGGAAGAGACAAGAGGAAGTGTAATTCCACTCCAGGTGAGGTGACCTTGAGACCTACAGGAAAAAGCACAAGCTCGCCAGCAAAGCTGGCGCGTGTGCAGCATCAGCTGGAGTGACGGGCGGTGGCTTCCCGAAGGTCCATCCCCGAGGACGACAGCGGTTTGACAGCCAGGCAGACCTGTCCCCTCGACACACACGCATGCACACACGCACTTGTCCTTCTGTTCCCTCTGAGTTGCATGGTGTGGAGCTCAGGCACAGGGGAGCTTGGGAGGGGGCCAGAGACGGGGACAGCCGAGACCACTGCCACCAGTCCTAGGGCTTGACGAGCAACGCAGGGTCATTTGCACAAAGAAGATGCAGCAGCGGCTCAGCGCATCCTGGCAGCTCTGGGTCCCTGGTGACCATGCCTTAGTTCTTCAAACGGGCAGCTGCTCAGGTCTGGAAACGCTCGGGGGGCAAGGTGGCCACGACATCAAGTCCCCAGAGCCACCCTGGTCAGGTCTCCCTCATCCCATGAGCCAGCCTGCACACAGGTCACAGCCGGTGTGCGCATTTGCAGACAGCATCCGGCATGGAAATCCGGATGGTCGGGGGGGAGTTTACTTGGGAGCATCCCCCCACCCTCCCCGACGCCTGCTTGGTCCTGGAGGGACCCACGTGGGAGGAGTCCCCTCCTGACTCCCTGGGACCCTTTAGGCATGTCCACGGCGCTGAGGCCACAAGTCCTGAGGGGTCGGGAGGGCCAACAGGGAAGGTGGCAAATGTTCAGGCAACAAACACTTCTTGAGTGCCCGCCAAGGCCAGGGCTCGGACCCCCACGCTGAGGAGGAAGATGAAGACAACATAAGTCCCGCCCCTAGGGACCGACAAGCTGCATGGAGAGGACAGACACGTGCAGGTGGCACCTGCTGAGGAAGGAGCTGGGGAACTTCTCTGAATGACCAAGCGGCCCAGCCCTTAAAGACTTGTGTGGAGGCAGGCGGCGGTCCAGCTGGGGCGATAGGGGCGTCAGGGAGGTGAGGGAATGCCGTGGGCAAAGGCAAGGGCGTGGGGATGTGCAGGGCACGTCTGGGACCTTGGAATGCAGGTTTACAAACGGGCAGGGGAGGAAACACGGGAAATCTGAGATCAGATCTGACGCGCAAGGCCTTGACTAGCAGGCTGAGGAGTTTGGTGGGGATCCCATAAGCAGCAGGCGCTGGGTAAGATTTTCGAGCAAGGGAGGGAGTTGGAGTGGAAAGCAGCGATTAAGGGCCAAGCGCCTGGAGGGGGCGTGCCCGGTGGGCTCCGAGGGGCGGGGGGAGGAGAAACCGCAGGAGTGGAGGGAAGTGGGTCAGAAGCTGTCACAAGGGGTTCGGGATCCCGATGCTGAGAGTCCGGGTCAGGGTGTGTGTGGAAACTGGGGGTCAGGAACGGGCACCGGAATGTTATAAGGATGCGTGGGAATTGGCAGCTCGGTTGCCTGAGAGGGACAGAGAAGATGTCCAAGTTGAGTGCCTGCGTGGTACCCACGCCAGAGACGGGGGCGTCAGCCCTGCAGCCGCGCAGGCGCCAGGCGTCGGTGGTGGGCGGTCCATGAACTCTGCGAGGTCTCTGCCGGTAAGGACCGCCCCTCTTCTTCTCTCGTCCTCAGCTCTTCCAGGAAAGGTCCCGAGAGTCACCGAGGGGACGTGTCACGGATGGCGCTACGGAGTCCAGTGAGTGAGCCTGTGCTTTTTCTGGAGGCCTCAATGTCCCCTCCTGGGGAACAGAATTTTACTCGGCCCTGTCTCTTCTGCCAAAGGCGCTGTTTCTGCCCTGCGCCCTTTGCCCCCTTTGCTCTGTGGCTCTCTGGGCCGGTGGCACAGCCTGGGGCGGGGGTGCGGGGGGAGGCAGGGGCACAGCACTCGGTGGGCCGGGTCTGGGGCAAGTCCGTGGTGCAGCTGCAGGAATCACTGCACCTCCCTGAGACCGCGAGTTTCCATCTGGGGATATAACCCCGCATCCACCCTGGGTTGTGAGGGCCGAACGAGCGTCCGTGCAGCGGAGTTCGGTTCTTTGAAATGCCATGGCAACGACAATGACAACGAGGTCAGAATGGCCTTCCCTTGATTAAAAGGCCTCCAGTTCTCAATGGCAATGTCCTGACACCCTGACCAACCCCGGCCACAGCCAGGCATGCGCTGCAGGGACGTTGCTCTACTTTAATTAAGAAACAAACACATGACCTATAGCTGCTCTGACAGGAAGAAGGGTGTGTAGGAAGGAAATCAAACAACAGGAAAATACACAAATGGGTGGGGATTGGGATGGCTGTTCTAGGGGACAGAACGGGTCCCTCGTGACACAGCATCTCACTCCTGTAACCTCAGCGCCCGACTCCCACAGCTCGAGTGGCAGGTGGCTCTCCCCAGCCCACCCACGGGTGACAGGTGCTGCGGCCCAGGCCCTGACCCCAGCAGTCACCGGTGGGATGGGGGGCGGTGTGGGGAGGTGAGTCATTCGGCCACAATCTGGAGGGCAGGGCTGGTCCCCCAGGAGGCCAGGCTGTGTCATCCATTTGTCATGGCTCTGGCTTCCATTCCCCTGGGTCCCAGGCCACCAGCAGCCCCCGATGGTGGGCGAGCACGAGCTCAGGCATCTGGCACCCCTCCTGGTGGGGACCCCAGACCAGTCTCTCTCTGACTCAACAGGTCTGATCACACCCGCTCCCCATGACAAGGAGCGCCTCACCCACCTCCCTAAGGCGGGGGGGGGGGGGGGCATGCTGATTGCCTTTCCATTCCGTGGCTTCAGCATTTCAAAGGTGATTCATCCTCCTATCTGTGTGGTCAAGGTGACCTTCGCAGCTTCTGTTTGTATTAAAATGCAGCCAGAGTGAGCTCCGTCTCCAGGTCTGAGACCAAACAGCCAGCCCAAAAGCCCAGCTGTCACGGCGGAGGACCTGAGGGTGGAGAAGCACCCTCAGCGGGTGACAGCACGGAACGAGGGGTCGGGCTCTGTGCATTTGAAATGTTTAA